TGCTCCTTCACCTTCTCTTCCAACCGCTCTACTTCATCAGTGTTTTGTTCGGGAAGTGTTTCAACAAGAGTAGCATGAACCACTGGCTTAGAAAAATCATTTACAGTCTATTGAGTGAAACAGCCTTTTCAAGTTAATTCAGTACAAATTATATCTTCAAATTTAAAATCATAAAGGACACTCAAAAAACATGTGTACCTGCACAAAAAGTTGTCTTATAATGCACAACAAAACCCAAGAGTCATTTAGATGGCACTATTAAACTTTCTTCAAATAAAAAAATAGCATTTGCATGCATATAAGAACATTCTATACACTAGATATATTAATAACAATAATCAACTGGTAAACCCCAATAAGGCAAGGACACAATTCTTTTCTAATGACTTTTTTCTTGCAACTTTTTTTGCTTCTTTACAACCATTTTTTTCAGATCTGTACATTAAATGCATTTTCTCACCTCAATAATTATATACAATATTATGATTTGCAATATTGTATACCTCGTTACAATATGCAGAGACTATCTTCAGTCTCTTTCATTATATCCTGTCTTTATGCAGTACTATACCATACTTAACTTATAACATTGAAGGATGGACTATTTAAAGGCTTGGTATTACATTCATTTGAATGGAATCTCTGAAAAACTGCTTTCCACACATACAATTGGTTTGACAGAAGCAAAGTTATTGCCATTTTTTTAAAAGTAGCCAATTAAAAAAAATTCCACTTAAATGTTTTTATATTTAACACTTGCAGGGCATGAGTCTTCTCTTACCATAATTTCCTTCCTTTCTGGGTTTAAGTCATATACTTAAATGTTATCGGAACTCAGTTTCCTATACTCTGGAGCTGATGTGTTAAGAGAGTAAGTTACCCTCCCTCCCACAAAATAAGCTTTACATCTACACAACAACTGATAATTGTGGGAAACTGAAATGTTTGGAATGTATGGGTATAGAAGGTTCTGAATATTGTTAACATTTTTGTTACAATTAGCCATCAAGTATAGGTTAAACCGGGAAGGAGGAAGGGACAACATCACTTGTGTTCACACAGCTAGATGTGTGTATATAACATGGTATACACCAGTGGTCCCCAACACAGCGCCCGCGGGCGCCATGGCGCCCGCCGGGGCATTTATGTGCACCTGCCTAGTGCCCAGCAGGGGAGAGAAGCTGCGGCCCAGCACTGCCGGGGTCAGAGAACTACAGGGCTGCAGGCTGCGGGCACCGGTGTTCTCTGTCCCTGGCAGGCATGAGGCTGTGGCTTCTCTGGGGGTGTAGGCTGCGGGCGCTGGTGTTCTCTGTCCTTGCAGCTTCTCTCAGGCTTCTCTCTGCACTGCCCAGAACTGCCGCCAAAAACAAGACAAAACAAAACTGCTCTGCCTCTGCAGAATGGACCGAATGTTTACGATATTTATTTTGTAAAAACTCCTTAATTTCTCTTACAGGTAGATAAAAAAAGAGCAAATTGACATGGTAAGGTGAAAGAGTAATTGCCGAATAATTTAATTAATACCTTTTACATGTAAAATTACCTTTTTTATCTTATGGATTCATACATTATGTAATATTAAATATGATGTTTTTCATATTATTTAATGTACAAATACAAAATAAGCCTTGAAAAATTGTTGGCGCCCGCCATAGTCTTCTGAAAACATGAATGTGCTACTGGCCACAAAAAGGTTGGGGACCACTGGTATACACAAAACTAACTAGAAGAGGTAGTACATGGAAGAAGGAAAAATACAATTAGGAATATTTTTTCAGCATAATGCATATGAATTTAGCTACCATGTCTCCCTGCAGCACAATGAAAATTATGAGGCTAGATGTCTGCATGTATTGCTGATCTATTCTCCAAAATTCTACATGCTAAGTCTCCTAGTAACTTTTTTTTTTTTTAAATAATTAATCTACATGCAGTTATTTATTTTTCAAGATACTAGTGGCAATTAGACCATATCACAAATTATTCATCAAGTGTACCTTTCAGTTTTCCATGGATGGATATTCACAACTCAAACACAAACCTTTGAATATTAAGGTCATTTTGAGGTATACATGAACTTTAAAAATAAGAAAACGGGGGGTGGGGGGAAAAAATCATTCCCAAGCTGTATACCAAAGACCATACACTGCCCTCAGTTGGCATTGATCTCAGTGGGAGTTATGTATAGGACTCTACGTTTCAACTAGGAGTTAAGCTTATAGAAAAGAAATTTGTATAAAAGCCAAGAACAATAGGGAGAAGATGGAACTGCAGACCATTACTAAGAGCAGCACAAATGAAGTTCTGTCACTTACTATTTAATGTAATTGTTCAGAATTGGAGTGGCTTTAGAAAGTTAATGAAATTAGGCAAAGAGAATTTCTTCTATGTACAGAATTAAGCCTTAACATATCTAAATTAAGTTTATAATTAACATATCTCCATGCATAACAAGGAGCTACATATTAAGATGGAGAGCAAAGAGGGGTCTGCAGTGGGATAAAACCCAACAAGCATGAACTGCATACAGATGCTTACACATTCTGTGTAAAAGTTCACGTTACAATAATTTGGAAGAAATGCTCAAATTCTCTTAACACCCCTTCAGGCAGACAGAATCTTATTACATACTTTTCTGCTAAGGCCATCATTGTAATATCTGGGTGCAAAATTTCTATTTTGTATAGTGCCTTAAATCTGAGCACTTGATACACTTTAATGAAGCCTCACAACCCCCGCAGTGAGGCAGATATGGCAACTATCCCATCCCCATCTTAGATACGGGAATGGAGACAAAAGAAAGATTAATGAATCACTCAAGGTCACCAGGATTAAAACCCAAATCTCCTATCCCTGGTTCTGTACTCTAAACTACTAGACAATACTACCTGCTTACATCTTCAAGATTATCTCATTTTCCCCTGAAAAAAAATTCCACATTCTAAAAGGTGCAATGAATATCATAAGCAAGAGATATTAATCAGCTGATTATAACTTTTACTTAAGAATAAACACAAGATTCATATCAGTTTCATACATATCCCCTCTTGATTACCAGTTTAGAAATCAACAATTCTCCAAACATACAATGCTGGTAAAGTTACATGCAGGTAACAGGTTCTGACTAGAGGAGAAAGGCAACCTCGCTTTCTCTTTTCTGTTTAAATGGGATCAACATTAGTTTTAAAAGTAAGTTTAAACCTAAACCACACATATGCAACATTAAAGGTAGCAGGAAGAAGTGGGTGGATTACCTAGTTTACCCTTAGTTAAGGCTCCACTACTGTTCAAAGCCCAAAGTTGTATATGGTTGGTTAGATTATAAACACTTTGGGCCTGGAACAATTTATTGAGTGTGAATGCTGTTCCCTGTGCATGCAATAAGATATCGACCCCTGATGGGGACCTCTTGCCACTACTTCAACACAAATAATAAAATCACATGGATATCTGGCTACCGCATTAAGATAGAAATGGAAATGGATGGTTTCCCTGTCACCTGGAAGAGGGAAGATAGTTCACATGCATTAGAAGGTCTCCAAACCCTGTTTGTGACATAAAAGTCATGCTTTTAGAAAAATATTTATAGATTCCCTTCAGCCATGCTATTTATTAGGCAAACATTTTAAGCCATAAAAACTTGAAGAGGGTAAGAACAGCAAATTCCAACAAAATATTTTAAAAAATTGTACATGAATATGGTTTTGTATTTCATATTCTGTTAATAAGAGTAATTTTTATCTTATAAAAAAACTTTACAATTTAAAAGGAACAGCGATTCAGACAAAAGAATATAGCACTTCAAGCATGAAAAAAATCTAGAAAAAGAGTAGTCGCGGTACTTGAAGATGAACATTATGAATGTAGTTAAGTTCAGCATTTTATTTTTTGTTAGAGTAGGAAAACTAAAATTATTCATTTCCGTGTTCTAAGGATGCAAATTTTGTTTCTTGAAAATACCTGCAGATAAAACTAAAAAACAGTCTTTGCATTGTTATTTTTTCCTTAAAACATTTACACATTATGCAATACACCAGTTAGTTAATAACACTGATCTCTGTGCATGCTTTTTATGTAAATAAATGCATGTATGAATTTAAAAAATGGACATAGCCGAACCTCCATCAGCCAATTAGCAAAAGAGATTTCATGACTATATCAGAAAGTTATACTTCATACTTGGGACAACTCAGCTGTTAAATACACACTTTTCAAGTGGTCTTCATTATTGTCCCCCATGAATACTATGTCAACATTTTAATCAATATAATGCAGTACACAAATAAACTAAACTAAATTAAATGGAAACTGGATGTGTTTCACAATCTCATCTAAAGATGAGTTCATAACTGCCTTAAAAATTAAACCGGGTTTAAAATGGTCTTGTCCTTAAACTTTTTTTTGTCTAGTTTTACAATATTACTTAAATATACACATGTACAGAATAAGACAGAAAATCTTTGATTATGATTATGCACACATTTCATGATACCAATAACATTTCACACCACCCAAGTGTCATTCTCATGAAGATCCAAAATCCTTTACACCAGTGGTTCTCAACTATTTCTATATTAGGACCCCCACACTCCTCCCATTTACCAATATAGGAAGGACAGGATAGTCATGATTCCCATAATTCTTCGCATATTCCCTATGAATCATGACCATTCAGTTGGGGCCTCAGCATTATGATACTGAAGCATCATTTACATACATCATTTAATTCTGAGTTTTCACATGGACTTCTATAGGAGCAGAATCAAGCATCAGTTACAGTGGAATAGTGTATCCTTTCCAGGGCCAGCTCCAGCGTTTTTGCCACCCCAAGCAGCCAAAAAAAAAAAAAAAAAAAAAAAACCAAAAACGAGCCGTGATCGGCGACACTTCGGCGGCAGGTCCTTCCCTCCGAGAAGGACTGAGGGACCCGCTGCTGAATTGCCGCTGAAGAGCCGGACGTGCCGCCCCTCTCCGTTGGCCACCCCAAGCACCTGCTTGCGACGTTGGTGCCAGGAGCCGGCCCTGATCCTTTCCTCTCCCCCATGTCAGTCTCTTATACACAGATACAAATAGTTACTTCAGCAATTTTGGATTATCACCAGTCAGTATCCTCTTTCTCTGAAAAGATATTAATACAAAATAGACTGTTCTGTAAGATTTCTGGTGAGAACATTATGGCACACTTTTTTGGTCATTTCTTTGCATAAGGAAAACTAAGACACATTTCCCCTTTATTAACGGTGAAGATTTACCCCCTAGATAGGAATCTATCATAAATACTCAACATGATGGCATAAAGCAGAGCACAACACGGGCATTTTTTGGAATGGTCTTATCCAACAAAATGAGAATGCTAACTTTTTGGATTCTTTACCTTTTAGCAAAGAATTGCAGTTAGTTGCCAATACTGAACAAAGTATAAAATCCACATTCAGACACACTATCCCTTTTTGTGATCATTCTTAATTGCAGAGTATATATATGACAAGCATAAAAACCAATAGTCTTAAGAGATTTCACTTTATAAAGAAATGGTGCACCAATTATTTGGTGAAGGTTAGAGCAGTACAGAGAACAAAGGAAAAGCAGTTGTGACATGTCAACAATCTCAACATTAGTACTATTCTCAGTACACTGAGATGCAGTGTTATTCACTTTTTCTTGGAACAGATTTCAGTTAACCTACACTTGAGGTATAAATATACACAAATATGTACAGTACACAGAGGAAAATATTTTTGTATCTGTAGCACATTTGAACAAGTTTTTAAAATACTGGAAAGTCAATACCTATGCCACTGATTTGCTTGCTAATTTACTGGAATAATGAGGCCAACACCTTCAACTAGGAGGGTTATATTGGAATATAAAATGTAAAGTTAAAAATTCCTTCCTCTCACTTCATACTCACCACACATAGTCCTGAGTGGCTTTATCTTGAGAAGAATGTCAACCACAGTTTTTAAACCTATCTTCAGAGTAAACTAATGGGAAAATAAACTAGAGCCTTCATCTTCATCCGTTTTCAAAGAGGTGGTCTTAATATATGTGTGTAGAAAATAAAGTTGAAATCAGTTTATTATAAATACATCTAACCCATTAATTTTGCAGGTTACCATAGGTACAGGTAACCAAGGTATCCATAGGTACAGCACTTTTGTATGCAATGTCGGTGCAAAGAGGTCATTAAAAATCATCTGATTTTAAGTCTTGACATCATCCATTCAAGTCCTTGGCACAATCTGTAAATAAAAATTAAAATATGTATTTTTGCATAAAAAAACCCTATAAATATTCTGTCATGGTAACTTTAGTCAGAACTCAGAGAGCATGTGCTTGTGAAAGTCCTGCAACCTTATTTCAATCTACACAACAGTAAAAGTAAGATTGTAAACTTCTAACAACCCCTTAACAATGTGTCTAGGCTTCGAAGGATTAGATTTTTAAATTGGTAAATGTTGGCAAACGATTTCACCACACATACACAAACCAATGAAAAAGATTATCAATAATAAACATTTATGGATATTCTGCGTTTCATTGTAACCTGCCACATAACTGCCACTGCTGTGTGCTTTAACAAAGACTAGTGAGGTGAGTTACAACTTTTAAGATGCTAAACAACCCATACACGTAACGAACAGTATCGCTTCACAGTACACGACAGTTATTTCCCAGTGGTACTACATCTTTGGGGCAGGTCTTTGTTTTTCCTTGAATGTTCTATATGGTGCTGAATTTAATACAGGGCCCAAGAAGAATTCATGTTTAAAAGGATATCATTTTCAATGTGCCTTGAGAGTCAGGTCTCAGAATGCATAGGTGTGCTAGGGGATGTACGTCAAATAACAGCCTATGTATACCACGATACAGGTACCAAAATTATTCAGAAAGTATTCCCAAGAAGAATTCTTACCCCTCGCCAGTTAGAGCACAGCATGCTTGGATATGCCACTGGTGATCTTTAACTGAAGTTAGTTTCAGAAACTGGGATATTTCAGCTATCGTCATGCACTCTTTAACATCTTGTTTGTTAGCAAAAATAAGCAAACCTGCTTTCTTTAAATCCTACAGAGGAAGAGACAGAAAAATGTTTAGAGGTTTAATTATTTTTCTATTAGGATTTCAAGATTTTTCAGAGTCAAATTAGGTTTCTGATTTGGAAGTGTCTTTATGATATTGAAAACATTTGTGCATGCATCTTTCACTTAAGTGCCAACACACATTCTGCTTTTAGAATTTTGAAAGGCTTCAAAATCCAGAATGAAAACATATTGCCTGTGTTTCTAAGTATAACTGAAACTTACAAAATATGAGAGCAACTGCTAGTCTAACAGTTTCTGATTGGCAATGGAAACATTTGTCATTTTGTTTAGAGAGTTTTTTCCATCTTTAAAATCTATTATGGATCCACAGTGGATCAACAGTTCATTCAAGGGCTCGTGGACAAGGTGCATTAATCTGCACTAGCATTTCACACACAGAGATTATGTCTACACAGCATTTTGGAGTGAGCCTCCCACCCAGGGTCAGACTCAGACTAGCAAGGTTCACACTAGGGCTCAAAAAAAACAGCGGTAGACAGCATTTTGAAGTTGCAGTTCAGGCTGGAGCTTGGGCTCTCAAGACCATACCACTCCCGAGGCTTCAGAGCCCAAGCTCCAGCCCACGCAGATAGGGGCCACATCCTGAAAGAAATTTTTCCTGTATCACCTCATCTGGACTTCAAAACAACCTTCCAACTTCATCATCCTAAGCAAGCCCCCCCATAGACTCACAACTCAAAGCAGCACCAGACCCTTCCATAACAGATAAGTGTTAACTACTTATGCTAAACAATCTGTTCCACCTTGTATTTAGCTGAGACAGTGAGTACCTTTTCCAGACTTGAAGTAAGACCTATGTAAGCTTAAAAGCTTGTCTCGGTCACCAACAGAATGTTGGCTCAATAAAAGCTATTGCTTCACCCACCTTGTTTCTCAAATATCCTGGAACCAACACAGCTACAACAACACTGCAAACAGATGTTAATTATGTCAGACCTTGAGTTAACAAAGTCATACAGTCACTACTGGATTGATGCTCCTAAAGCAAAAAAATTGTCTGATAATTGTGACAAACCAATGAAGCTGATGTTGTTTAAAGTTCTAGTTTTCCCTCATTTCCCTCAAATTTGTACAAGCAATACTAAAGCTTCGTTATTTAACTACAAATTAAACATTATATAACCACTACATATTCTAAATGCAACAGACTAGATACTGCAGAAGTTGCCGATTGTAGCATGCAATTTCATCATGGTATATAACTGATATAGTGCATTTTGGATCAAGCAGCCACTGAACCTCAAGACAACTGTTTCATTGATGCTGCATTTAAACTCAAATAGCAAGCTAATATGGAGCAAGGAGCACTGGCCCCATTAATAAATTCTACCATATGTCATGAGACATCTGACTTCTTCCTTCTTATAGTGAAATCGTCTCTCCCACTCCTCCTCCCTTAAGTAAAAATCTTAAGTGAATCCACATGTTCCACAGAATCTCTATGGATAGAAATTTCATGCTCTAATAAGAATATAACATTAGGGATCTATTATAGACCACCTGACCAGGACAGTGATAGTGATGATGAAATGCTAAGGGAAATTAGAGAGGCTATCAAAATTAAGAATCCAATAATAGTGGGGGATTTCAATTATCCCCATATTGACTGGGAACATTTCACTTCAGGACGAAATGCAGAGATAAAATTTCTCGATACCTTAAATGACTGCTTCATGGAGCAGCTGGTACGGGAACCCACAAGGGGAGAGGCAACTTTAGATTTAGTCCTGAGTGGAGCGCAGGAGCTGGTCCAAGAGGTAACTATAACAGGACCCCTTGGAAATAGTGACCATAATACAATAGCACTGAACATCCCTGTGGTGGGAAGAACATCTCAACAGCCCAACACTGTGGCATTTAATTTCAAAAGGGGGAACTATGCAAAAATGAGGGGGTTAGTTAAACCGAAGTTAAAAAGTACAGTGACTAAAGTGAAATCCCTGCAAGCTGCATGGGCGCTTTTAAAGACACCATAATAGAGGCCCAACTTCAATGTATACCCCAAATTAAGAAACACAGTAAAAGAACTAAAAAAGAGCCACCGTGGCTTAACAACCATGTAAAAAAAGCAGTGAGAGATAAAAAGACTTCCTTTAAAAAGTGGAAGTCAAATCCTAGTGAGGCAAATAGAAAGGAGCATAAACGCTGCCAAATTAAGTGCAAGAATTTAATAAGAAAAGCCAAAGAGGAGTCTGAAGAACGGCTAGCCAAAAACTCCAAAGGTAATAACAAAATGTTTTTTAAGTATATCAGACGCAGGAAGCCTGCTAAACAACCAGTGGGGCCCCTTGATGATCGAGATACAAAAGGAGCGCTTAAAGATGATAAAGGTGATAAATCTGAGGAACTGTCACAGATTGAAGTGTCACTAGAGGAGGTTTTGGAATTAATTGATAAACTTAACATTAACAAGTCACCAGGACCAGATGGCATTCACCCAAGAGTTCTGAAAGAACTCAAATGTGAAGTTGCGGAACTATTAACTAAGGTTTGTAACCTGTCCTTTAAATCGGCTTCCGTACCCAATGACTGGAAGTTAGCTAATTTAACGCCAATATTTAAAAAGGGCTCTAGAGGTGATCCCGGCAATTACAGACCGGTAAGTCTAACGTCGGTACTGGGCAAATTAGTTGAAACAATAGTTAAGAATAAAATTGTCAGACACATAGAAAAACAAACTGTTGAGCAATACTCAACATGGTTTCTGTAAAGGGAAATCGTGTCTTACTAATCTATTAGAGTTCTTTGAAGGGGTCAACAAACATGTGGATAAGGGGGATCCAGTGGACATAGTGTACTTAGATTTCCAGAAAGCCTTTGACAAGGTCACTCACCAAAGGCTCTTACGTAAATTAAGTTGTCATGGGATAAAAGGGAAGGTCCTTTCATGGATTGAGAACTGGTTAAAAGACCGGGAACAAAGGGTAGGAATTAATGGTAAATTCTCAGAATGGAGAGGGGTAACTAGTGGTGTTCCCCAAGGGTCAGTCCTCGGACCAATCCTATTCAACTTATTTCTAAATGATCTGGAGAAAGGGGTAAACAGTGAGGTGGCAAAGTTTGCAGATGATACTAAACTGCTCAAGATAGTTAAGACCAAAGCAGACTGTGATGAACTTCAAAAAGATCTCACAAAACTAAGTGATTGGGCAACAAAATGGCAAATGAAATTTAATGTGGATAAATGTAAAGTAATGCACATTGGAAAAAATAACCCCAACTATACAGACAATATGATGGGGGCTAATTTAGCTACAACAAGTCAGGAAAAAGATCTTGGGAGTCATCGTGGATAGTTCTCTGAAGATGTCCGCGCAGTGTGCAGTGGCGGTCAAAAAAGCAAACAGGATGTTAGGGATCATTAAAAAGGGGATAGAGAATAAGACTGAGAATATATTATTGCCCTTATATAAATCGATGGTAAGCCCACATCTCGAATACTGCGTACAGATGTGGTCTCCTCATCTAAAAAAAAAAAAAAAAAAAAAAAAGAAAAATTGGCACTAGAAAAGGTTCAGAAAAGGGCAACTAAAATGATTAGGGGTTTGGAACGGGTCCCATATGAGGAGAGATTAAAGAGGCTAGGACTCTTCGGCTTGGAAAACAGGAGACTAAGGGGGGATATGATAGAGGTATATAAAATCATGAGTGATGTGGAGAAAGTGGATAAGGAAAAGTTATTTACTTATTCCCATAATACAAGAACTAGGGGTCACCAAATGAAATTAATAGGCAGCAGGTTTAAAACAAACACAAGGAAGTTCTTCTTCATGCAGCGCACAGTCAACTCGTGGAACTCCTTACCTGTGGAGGTTGTGAAGGCTAGGACTATAACAGCGTTTAAGAGAGAACTGGATAAATTCATGGTGGTTAAGTCCATTAATGGCTATTAGCCAGGATGGGTAAGGAATGGTGTCCCTAGCCTCTGTTTGTCAGAGGGTGGAGATGGATGGCAGGAGAGAGATCACTTGATCATTGCCTGTTGGTACACTCCCTCTGGGGCAGCTGGCATTGGCCACTGTCAGTAGACAGGATACTGGGCTAGATGGACCTTTGGTCTGACCCGGTATGGCCGTTCTTATGTTCTCCCCCAATTTCCTTTTTGAAGTCATATTCTTGCCTAAAAGTATTGCATGAAAACCAGTTAGTAAACATCTGATGCAATAGCAAAACTTCTGAGTTTTGCCTTGCATATGATAGGCACTTAATATTACATTTAGTTCTTCTCAAAGAACTAAGTTACCTCTCTTCTGGCTTTCACCCACAACCACACCATCTGTCATAAACAAATAAATGATAGATTAATCTGTCAGAGTTAAATACTGAAATCTCATATGTGGACTACAAAATGGAGGTCAAAGTTAAAGGAAGAACTGCTCTTGTTTGCTCTTAAACATTTCTATAGAATACCATGATCACTTATAACGATATTCAGGTTTTTGGATGAAATATTTTCCCCTCCCCTCTCTACTAACAGTGGACATTTAGTTATAAAAATATCAGAGTGCTGATCTTCAGCTTGGCCTATATTGTGCCACCTGATTACTTTGTACACAGGTCTGCATTTTATGTGGCTGTATTTCATCTTATTACTCCACATTAATGCCAGTTTTACATTTAGTAAACCTAAAACCTTAAATATAATCAGAAATTTAAATTTATTAAATTAAAATTTTCAACACATCAAATTGGAACCACTTACAAGAGAAAACAGGTAAATGAACCTCAGTTATACCCAGCTAAGTAACTACATATCCTTAGTAAAAACTAAGGCTGCCATCCTGTAGTGTGTGGGCAGACTGCTGCGTCACTGCAGAGCCTCAAATGGTACTTCATGCAGGTGCAGTTGTCTACCAATCTGCTACGCAATGAGGGATCGTGGCCTAATACTCTTTATTAGCTTATCACACAACAAAAGACCACTTTGTCACTAACATGTAGTGCCTGGGAAGATTCAACTTTTTAAGAAACATTCATCTTTTATAAATTCCATGAGGTGTGAGGCAAGAGGGTACCATGGGGAGAATGAAAGCCTTTAACTTGAATATTAAAGTTTTAATAGAACATGACATATACAGTACAATTTCAGGCCTGAAAATAACTGTTTTTAAAGGGACATTGTCAATTTGCAAGTCACATTTCCACCTGAAGTGTTTGTATCTATTAATTCTACAAGTAATCACTAAAGTTACTACTATACATGAAAGATTAGAGGAAAATTTTGTTTTATTCTTAGTTTTTTTTTTTTTTTAAAACTTTGTGCATTTATCAATGATGTGAGTATAGATAGGCAGTGCATTAGGAACTTTCTTAAGCCCTAAAAGGTTTTTGATCCATTTCACCTCTTCTGCTATTACTGGAAAGCAACTGAGTACACTGACTGAAAGGGGAAGCAGAGGTTCTAAACATGTTTGGTGTTGCTACTCTCAGTCTGCCCAAAAGCAGGGCCGGCTCCAGCATTTCTGCCACCCCAAGCAAAAAAAAAAAAAAAAAAAACCCGCGATCGGCGGCGGCAGTTCAGCAGCAGGTCCTTTGCTCCTCAAGGGAGTGAGGGAACTGCCGCCCCCAAATTGCCTCAGGTGCCACCCCCCTCCCTTGGCCGCCCCAAGCACCTGCTTGTTAAGCTGGTGCCTGGAGCCGGCCCTGCCCAAAAGACTCTCCTAAACAGAGTTGTTTATTCTGCTAACATTAAGCATTTATGGATTTTTACTATCCGAGTGCTAGATAAGAAAGTATATATTTTAGTTGATTAAATTACAACAAAATCCAATGGACAGTATTCCCTTAAGCAAGCCTTGCATTTCATTAACAGCTGTACACAGGAGGCAGGTAGCAGTACAGTAGAACCTCAGAGCTACAAACACCAGAGTTACAAACTGACCGGTCAACCACACCCCTCATTTGGAACCGGAAGTTCACAATCAGGCAGCAGAGATGGGAAAAAAAGCAAATATAATACAGTACTGTGTTAAATGTAAACTACTAACAAAATAAAGGGACAGTTTAAAAAAAATTTTTTTGATAAGGTAAGGAAACTTTCCATGGTTGTTTCATTTAATTTAAGACGGTTAAAAGCAGCATTTTTCTTCTGCACAGTGAAGTTTCAAAGCTGTAGTAAGTCAACATTCAGTTGCAAACATTTGAAAGAACCATAATGTTTTGTTCAGTTATGAACATTTCAGAGTTATGAACAACCTCCATTCCCAAGGTGTTCATATCTGAGGTTCTACCGTACTTCAAGAAAGTCAGTATGTTCCTGAAACTTATGACCTATATGTGACCCCGAGCAAGTTACTTCACTTTCCCCATCTGTAAATTGAGAATGATGAAACTTATCACTAGAATTTGTGTATTTTTTTTAATGTTCATATGTAATCTGCTATGATCCCCTGAGGTTGGTGGGTATTACCACCATTTGTCATATAGGGAAAAGAGAAGTGAAACAGCTTGACTAAGGCCAAACGTGACTCAGTGGCAGGATTAGTATTCAGGAACTTCTTGCGCCAAACCTTCTGCTCCTTCCTTTAGCCCACCCAGACAAGTTCTTTACTGGCAGTAAGAGGACATGTTCCCTTCTCCTGAAGAACGTACAGTACAAATAACTGAGAACAAAGTTGGGTCCTATATCCGGTCAACTAAATCATCAATGGATATTAGATGTAACCAGAACAAAAAGTGTCTTTATAATTATGACTGGCATCTGTAAATCATTACCCTAAGTGCTAATCATGAACTTCTTTTTGGGTAGGAAAATAAACAAAATTAATTTAATGGTAGGCACAAATGCAAGTCTCTTAAATACCCAGTGTCATACAATTGATATACTAACTAAAATATTAACTACAACAGCCTCCTTGTAAAGCATTTCTCATTTATACTGGCGATCTTCCCTTCCCTCCAACATGGGTATTTTCTGCTATCTAAAAAGAAAAAGCTGGTTTGCAAGAGGCATCTGAATCATTTATGGTATTTTCATTTAGAAATACTATATTGGTCTCATTCGTCTCCTTTATCAAAGTTTTCTTCTGTGGTTTCACTAGAGAGAGAGAAAGATACTGTGTTCTCGTTTAGTCAATTATCACATATGAATTATTTAATTATCTTTCTAGGGCTTCAATATTTACCCACAGCCTTGTAAGTTGTTTTAATGTTTTCTGGTCAATTTTATTCTTTTAATTCAGTTTCAATACTCAAAATATTCCCAATATTTTTAGAAAGAATCAGATGTACTCAACTTTATTTTTTGAGTCAGCTCACAGAAGACCTCTCCAAGCCTAAGTATCAGCTTGCTTTTGGTTTTGTTAAGTAAAACTACAAGATTAAGCTATTTGTTGCACAGAAAGAAGCTTGAGTTATTCAACAAGGACAATAATTCTGACCCCATTCAAAAAAGAAAAAAGGTGGGCGGGAATGGGGAAGGAACTGAGTAATGGAAACCTTTTCTGTTTCTCTACCCTCACCTGCTTGCAGCAGCCAAGAGCTTCTGGAGTGATAGATCAGTGTTCTGGCTGTTCTCGTTCGTGTTTTTTTTTTTTTTTTTTTCTTTCTTTTTGGAGAGAGAGAGAGAGAGAGATACACACATAGATATAAAAAGATGGAACCCCTAATCAAGGTCTGGGGACAGCACCCTGGTACTTCCCAGCAGCCATGGATGGGTTCATATAAGTGCTGCCCTTGGACTTTGGGCTACCCTCCGCCCTGCTCTTTATCTACCTCCAAACAGCAGGTTTAGTCATCCAACTAATAGTTATGTGCTTTCCAAGTCAGGCATTCAGAATTATGTCATATACACTACAGACAGCTACACTTTCTTGAATTTACTTTACTGTATAGAAGAGAGTCACTAATTTTTTAAGATCACAACATTGTGCAGAAAGATTTCTTAAAATAGTTATGTTTTCTTATCAAGATCTTTTTCAGTCAAACTTGTACATATCTCAGAAATTAAACCTTTTGTTCCAGCTTACTCCTGGGACAATTCCTCTAATGTAGTTAAAGGTCTAGATAAGCCATCCTGTATCCATATTTCACAATAAAATGCTGACTTATAAAAACTGAAAACCACAGTTTATACTATCTTTATACTATTTATATTATTACATATTTCTTGATAGAATTTCAAGTCAGGACCCAGGAACAGCTGTCTAAAGCTGAGTAATCTCAGCTCTTACCCACAACAAATAATCACTTATATTTCCTAGGGATAAATTCCTGATTATTAATGAAAGTAGCTAAGGGAAAGGACATCGGTGTCAGGAATTAATGAAGTTGGTCCAAAGCAAGATTTGAACAAAGAAATTGATCTGGAAGAGTGGGTCTCTATATGGGAAAGAGGATATACATCTTCATTTTGTGTAGTTAAAAAAAAATTGTTATACAATATAGATGGATCTTAACTGCAGTCAGATGCCATCATATCTTTGCTAGTAAGGAGATGCTCTGTTAGAGAGGTTGCAGGGAAAGGGTAACATATTTGCACATGTGGTGGTTGAATTAGACAGTTTTGGGAGGACATCATTAAAGAGATTCATCTATGACAAAATATCAGCTTCCTAGAGAACCCTAGTGCTCTGGCAGAAGATACACATTTCAAACAGAATGACAAATTAATTTATTTTTTACTGTTAGCAGGAAGAATTAGTATTGCACATTATTGGAAAAATATGACTTCTCTTATGGAATTGTGGTACAGTAAAATATGGACTGTCCTTGTAAAGGAAAAAACTTTCATAACAAGTATGTACACAAGAGAAGGGCTAAAAAGAGGATAGGTATTTTGAAATCTCAGCACCCTTTTTAGCATATTCAGAAGAGGAGGGCTTCCCAACCGGCGTGCCACAAACTTTTTAAAATATTATTTTTTTAATATTAACTTGATCCTGAATAAGCAATGTATGATGTAGCATGTTAATGTTTTATTGTAACTTTGCCTTAATAAAAAGTTTTTTAAAAAAAGTTATGTTGTAGTAGGGAAACGAGAGGAAAAAAGAAAAAAAAAAAAGAGTCAAACTTGTTTTTTGTAAATATATTTACAAATAGCCAAGTGTGTTAGGTAAATAATACATTCACATGCTATTTATTTGTGAGAAAAACAGTTGTAAATATTCACCAAAAATGTAAAAACACTACTCACCTCATGTGCTAACATTTTATAAAGTTCTTCTTTAGTTACAGAAATTCTCTCTCTGTCTGTGCTGTCTACAACAACGATGACAAACTTTAAAGGGTAAAAAATGATCAGTAAACAAATACATAGTGTGCATACTCTTGAACAAGTTTAATAGATGTGCACCCTGGGTCATAACAAAGTGTTAACTTCCTCCCTCATAGGTAGGGCCCTACTAAATTCACGGCCATGAAAAACACGTCATGGACCATGAAATCTGGTCTTTGCATGCTTTTACCCTATACTATACAGATTTCAAGGGGGAGACCAGAGTTTCTCAAACTGGGGGTCCTGACCCAAAAGGGAGTTGCAGGAGGTCAAGGTTATTTTAGGGAGGTTTCAGTATTGCCACCCTCAATTCTACGCTGCCTTCAGAGCTGTGTGGCTGGAGAGCAGTGGCTGTTGGCTGGGCATCCAGCTCTGAAAGCAGCACCCCACCAGCAGCAGCGCAGAAGTAAGGGTGGCAATACCATACCACGCCATCCTCACTTCTGAGCTGCTGCCTTCAGAGCTAGGCGGCCGGAGAGTTGCGGCTGCTAACAAAAGGCACAGCTCTGCAAGCAGCAGTGAGAAGTAAGGGTGACAATACTTCTGTGCTGCTGCTGGTGGCGGCCCTGCCTTCAGAGCTGGGCTCCTGGTGAGCAGCCTCTGCTGTTCAGGTGCCCAGCTCTGAAGGCAGCGCCGCCGTCTGCAGAAGCGCAGAAGTAAGGGTAGCAATACCACAACCCCCGTACAATAACCTTGCGACCCCCCACAATTCCTTTTTGGGTCAGGACTCCTACAATTACAACACCGTGAAATTTCAGATTTAATTAGCTGAAATCATGAAATTTGCTATTTAAAAATCCTAGGACTGTGAAATTGACCAAAATGGACTGTGAATTTGGTAGAGCCTTACTCATAGGCATATTACAGTTTTGTCCACAAATCAATGGTTCGTTGATAATTCTAGTATTAAAATATTTGTAATTTATGTTTAAGTTTGTATACTAATAAATTTGGCATGCAAAATTATTTATTATTTTATTTAAGTCCTCTTTAAATAGAAATAAACAATAATTCAGGAAGCCTGCTCTGTTATCATGGCTTTGGATTTCACTTTTGCCCATTTTAACTGAACAATTGTTTCTTAAGTTTCTGTAAGCATTTAGGGTGAAATCCTGGTCCCACTGACTTCAAATGAGGTCAGGATTTCATCCTTAATCAACTACAATTTTAGGGGTAGATTTTCAATGGCACAGAGACACCCAATTCCCATTGACTGTAATTGATATGCTCTTACAAGAAGAGCAGCACACCAACTCGCCGAATTCCTTCCCCCACCTGCCCTGCTATTTTGCAATGAAATGACTAGCAATTATTTTAAAAGGGAGAGTGGGTAGCCTGTGCTAGGGTCACACACATGCCCTCCCCAACCCCCATGTCAAGTAAAAGCATGCAGCTGGAAGACAGGAAATCTAGAGTTACATGCACATCTGAGTCACTTGAAAATGGCCAAACAGTTACAGTTTTTATGATGATTAAATCATTTTTCAGAAGCTAAGTTTCTTCGTTATTTGATCCAGGGGCAGAGTACAGAACATTTAGCACTGAAGGAAAAACATGTTGGGAGGAACTGACAACCTTGACAATGCAGCAAAAGTTCCAATTTAACTACACAGAGTTTCTGATATCACCAATTATGTACTTTTCTTAGTTAAAGATGCATGAATATTGGTGATGTATATGTTGAAAGAGTTCAGTGTGGGTTTTGTGCCTGATTAAGGTTGTCTGTGAAAAGCATAAGGGGAATTTTCACATGTGATTATTCTCATTTTTAAAAAGGGTACCTTACATGGAAAAGTTCTTACTTTTTTTGATGGTTAGTTTCTGGTTCTTTTAAATTATACTGTTTTGTTATGTAGCTTATGGGATATATAGGTGTGAACTGGAACAGCATGCTAAGAAGATGACATACAAATTGAAATACAAGCATCCAGAATGTCTACAAGTGCTACAGTAATATTTGAAATGGAGTAAGATATAAACTTTAGTTAACCAAACTCTCTCTTGGATTATTCATAAAGAGGTTATTTTAATTCCTTATAAGAACATATCTTCCAATAGGGAATAAACTCTTACCTCTGTGTTTGTATAATAAGTATTCCATGAAGATCGAAGAGATTCTTGCCCTCCAATATCCCACATTAGAAAACGTGTGTTATTAACCACTATCTCTTCTACATTGCTGCCTATTGTAGGAGAAGTATGCACCACTTCATTCATAGAACTACAAAAGGAAAAGAATGACTGATCAAAAACTGCATACGCAATATTGACAAAAGTCAACTGTATTTGGAGATGCACGGTCACACATACTAGACCACAAAATTGGCCCATTTTTTTAAAAACTAAAATGGACAGTTGTCTCAGACTGGAAGGCTCATCTGCAGAATTGTGGTAGGCATTCCTTGACGCAACAGAAGGGGTGGGGTGAAGAAAAGAAACAGCAGATGAATGATTTACTGTTTGACTTCCAGTGAACAAATCTGCACAATCAGTAACTATAAAACTGAGGGCTTGTCTACACTACCTGCCGGACTGGACCTGTCTACACTACCTGCCACTGAGCGCTCTCCCGTCGACTCCGGTACTCCACCAGAACGAGAAGCACAAGTGGAGTCGATGGAAGAGCGTCAGCTGTCAACTTACCACAGTGAAGACACCACGGTAAGTAGATCTAAGTACGCCGACTTCACGTAGCTGAAGTTGCATATCTTAAATTGATCCCGCGTGGTAGTGTAGACAAGCCCTCAGAGAGCACTTCTTTTTTACTCTGTTTTAAGGGCTTCCACTGCTTAAGAGTGGATAGAAAAACGTCAATTCCCCCACCACGATGAAACTTGGCACATTGTAGCTCAGTCTGGGAGAGAATGATTATTCTTCTCCAACTCTGAAATAAAAAGAATGGTGCTAAACAACTTGATTTATAGGATTGCTGAAAAATAATAATAAATAATAATAAAAGAAAACCAAGACAACCCCATCCCAATACAGTGTATCAGTTCTCCTCCTCCCTTTGCCTAAACCCACCCCCATAAGTCAAAAACCACAAGTTAAAGAAGAAAATGTTTTGAGGAAAAACCAAGATATTTTAAAATACTGTTTTAAATCGACTCAGTACATCAACTGATGGACTTAGTTGCCAAGACAACCAAAGTAACACATTAGCAGTATCCATGAATATCCAATGCAGGGATTCAAAGTAAATGAAATGTATTGCAGTACTGCCCACACAAAAACATTTTCAAGGAAAATGAAGCATTTTCAAGAACTTGCTTATGATTACTATTGTTTCCATAAACTGACCAGTGCTCTTGACAAAAATAAAAAGACTGTCTAAAGTTTTCCAATTTCTTCAAAGTCTTCAGTTGCGCGGAGAGAGATTTGAGTCTTGAAACACTGTTAGAACATTATTTGAACAGAATCCAGCAGTAGTATTCTGGGAACGAATCCCCACTGCCCAGTGGTATATGAGCATGTAATAAGTGATTTCATCATAACATACATTTGTAAGGAAGATGAAATAAGGGCAGGGTCGGAACAGGAGGATTAGAAGGAGTAGAGCAAGAGGTAGAAGGGAATAATGAAAATGACAGAGCAAGACACCTTTGGTTGAATTTTATTTTTCTGGCTTTTATTGTGCTAATGTACTCTGAGGCCAGGTCTACACTACCGCGGTAGTTCGACGGCTGGCAATCAAACTTCCGGGTTCGATTTATCGCGTCTGGTCTGGACGCGATAAGTCGAACCAGGAAGTGCTCGCCGTCGACTGCGGTACTCCACCTCAGCGAGAGGAGTACCGCGGAGTCGACGGGGGAGCCTGCCTGCCGCGTGTGGACCGCGTCTGAACCGCGGTAAATTCGAACTAAGGTATGTCGACTTCAGCTACGTTATTCACGTAGCTGAAGTTGCGTACCTTAGATCGAATTGGGGTGTTAGTGTAGACCAGGCCTGAGGTTGCAAATACTGCATGGGCTTTGAGTTTCAAACAAAACATTAAAAGAGTTATAAATACATCTATTTTGAACAAAATCCAAAACATAAGCTTATGGTGTAACCTAGATGACAATAGCCCTTTAAACACTCCTTGAACAGTTTTGGGGATTGAGTCAAAAGAGTTTTCATAGAATATCAGGGTGGGAAGGGACCTCAGGAGGTCATCTTGTCCAACCCTCCTGCTCAAAGCAAGATCAATCCCCAACTAAATCAGTTTTCAAAATACTGAAGTGCTTACTGTGAAAAAGATACGACTCCATATTAAAAAAAAACCCTGTAACATGGATTGGTTGACCAAACCACCTCTAATCTTCAACACAAACAGCTTTTACTAACATGGATCTTACCCCAGGGCCTCATTCCTGGCTGACTTTTAGGCACTAGATAGTAACAACACTTCCACAAAATGTATGAATCTCAGTAACTTTGTGCATACTGGTGGTCCCTGACATAATAGTGGCTATATATTATAAATGCCATTAAGATCCTGAATTCTGACCAGCAAATAGCCATAGCTTGTTATGGTGCATTGATATTTATGACACCGTTCATTAAATATAAGTAGCTCCAAACCCTGCTGATGGGCCAGAATCAGTTGCTTTCTAACCAGTCAGACAACAGGATTTCCCAATGCCATTTTTATGTATGAAACGATCACCACCTATGCTCAGTGTGCTGCTCTTAAACTGACGTGAGGAAACAAAGGGGGTTAATGAAAAGTCAGAGCAAGATGCAGAGTGGATTTCTCAAAAATACATTAATATTTTTTGCCAGCGAATTCATAGTATGTACTTACAACTGGTAAAGGATGGTTGTTTTTCCTGCATTATCCAGACCAACAATGATTACTTTGTGCTCTGAAATAAAAATTTAAATGGTAAGTCACAGTTACCATTGTAGCTAATAACACTTTAGCGCTTTTCAGCAAAGAGTTCACACTGGTGCTTGTTTTAAATTAAAAAAAAAAAAAAAAAAAGCGCACGCATCAAAGCACGTTGTATACATAGATAGAGACACATGGTAACATGAACTATCACTGCTTTTGCTGTCTTCCCTCTATTTTTTGTAACACCTAGTTGTTCAGTGTTCTCTTAACTAAATTAAGTCCTTCAGACAGGGACGGTCTTACTATACATTTGTATAGCACACAGCACAATTGGGCCTTGATCATTTTTTTGGAGCCTCTTATAAGCAAATTCATTTTGAAACCAAATGCCATCCTCAACCAAGTATTTATATTCATTCAGCATCTCTTATTTCCTATTTACCAAAATGTAAATTGAAGAAGAAGTGGTATTGTTGGGAGCTACTCACCGTGGGCTAAAGTACACAGCTTTACTCAGTTTTATTCACTTCAAAGAAAATGTACATGTGAGTAAGGGCTCATCAATGTGAGCAAGGGTATTCTTTTGCCCAAATGGTCTACAGACATGCTAAAAATCAAGCCATTGAAGTATACCCAAACCTCAACTACAGCAGTAATTCCTCCCATTACGGCTGCAATTGTTCTAAAACAGGGGGTCACGTAAGTGCCTTTTTGCTTTTAATCAATATTGTGTGGTTTTGAAGAGCTGTTTTATAGCCCAGAGGGTATAAATTCAAGTTTGAATAACTTGGCATAACTGCACAATATTTTAAAAAAAATGGCTGATTACCTGACCCCCTGTAAGTAGGCGCTTTTGTTTCAGGTGTGATGTCACCAGCATACTGGATGCTAGGAAATCACCTGGAGCAGAAGACCTGCAGTGGAGCTGGATATTGCAAGACCTTAAAAGACAAAAAAGTGGGGTTTAAAAGTTTTTGTGCTGAATGGATAATGCTCTGACTATGGGGGCCATTCAGCATGTATGTATAAAGTTGTATAAATTCATTCGAAAAGCAACTTTAAAGGAGCTTACAAATTCTACTTACAGAAAAGTTAACATGCATTTTATGTGATATTAGAGATCTTTCAGAAGAAAGTGGCATTAGGAACAAAATATATTCTTTCTAAAATAAGCAGTTTTCATGACAGCTATTAAGACTTACTGACTGTCACTAATAAAACACACATTAAGCAACAAGACCCGACAGAGCATACTCAGCAGTATGGTATGATTGTATGTATATTATTACAATTATAATATTGATGTTAAAAATAAGTTTTATAAATTTGGGGATGAGCGAAATATTTATGAGATACCTTTTTGGCTCCACCCAATGCTGCTCAGAATCTCAGTTACATCTTAGTCATGACTACAGGTGGCACTAATGCTCCCTACTTAGTCAAGCTAGCTTTTTTTTTTTAAACACACAAATCGAAAGACAAATTGCAGATAGCTTAATACCGTGAATAAGGTTAAAAAATAAAACACTAGCCATGAAAGAGGCTGCTAATTAACAGAAAACTAATGTGGAACACAAGATATTCAGATATTCTAACTGTTACATCTAGTTAAAAAAATTAGACAATGCAAAAAAATTACATAAGAAACTTTCATTACTACCTGATAAGGCAAAATTCAAACTCAAAAGGAAAAAAACAAAACAAAAAAAACTACTTTGGTTTGTAGAGTTTGTATCGATTATGGTTACAAGTAACCTAAGATTATTTTAAACTACAAGAAGTAATTTTTTTAAAGCAACTTATTCACTTTTTGCATTTGACAGCAGTTTGCTTAGTCAGTTTTATTTTTTCCCTTGTGCAGGTTAGTCACTTCCTTTTCTCCTGAAAAAAAACACTAAATACAGCAGAGAAGCAGAAAAACTCGCAAACACGTTAACTAAAAGTTTTCTGAAGTATTTTGCAGTTTGCCTTATTCTGACCACAGAATGCATATCTGAGCAGTGTACTGTGATAAGTGTCACCCTGTCTCATTTAAGAAATTTATCAAACTAGGATGTGTGTTATGCTCACTACTTATTTATTACTTGACCCAGTGTAAAAATTGTGATTTGGACCCTTTTCATAATTCCTGAAACATCTCCATGTCTGTAGCACTTTCATGAAGCAGTATGTCATATTTGCCATTAAAGGAGTGCTGTTTTGAGTATATGTTTTCTCCATCTGCACTTCTCTGCCTAATTTCTACAAATCACTTCTGTACCTTTATTCTCTTCTGCCAACTCTTGTCTCATCCCTTTCTAATGTGTTTAAAGGCAAACTATTAAGTAATGTTCAGCAAATAAAACTTAATATGTGGAGTTCATTTGTAAAGATTACTAGCCAACTTTTCTGTTAAAACTCACGAGCAATTGGACTAGTTATTCCATGGACTAGGGAATATTGGATGAGAGTAACATGGCAGGAATTGTTCTGAATCTAATCTACTGAAGGAAGGAAACGTTATGTGGCACCATAAGAAGTTGTATTTGGTTCATACTTAAATAATTCATCTCTTAGCCTTCAAGTACTCTGTGATCTTCACAGAGCATTTTTTCCTAAACATAAAAACTAAACTAGGTTTTGTAGACTCATTAAGGCAAAAGTCACTACTATAGAGATGCAGAGAAACAAGTTTACTAATACAATCAGAGAACGCTTGATACAAAGAAGTTAATGATACAGCTTATTTCTTGAGCCGGTGCTTGCCTTTTAGGAAAAAATAACCATCAAACGTAATATGAGCAGAAAAGGAACGTGGTGTATTTTAGCCAAAAACGGAGCGACCCAGTGCTGCTTTCTGACCCTTCTCGCTCCTTTGTGGATGTCAGAGTCCAGCTGCAGTATGAGGAGAGACCCCATCTGCTCCCCACAAGCGCTTCTGAGTCACAGCTCGGACACGAGAGCGCCTCCTGCTCGCTCTTTAGCCCTGCACGCCTCAGCACTTCGACGGGGAACCTGGACTCGGGTCTGCCCGGCGCAGCCTGCTCCGCTCCCGCTGCGGGCGGTGCATCGCTGATGCCGCAGGAGCGCTGGGTTCCACGGAGCACCTGCCCTGGGTGCGGGCGGCGAGCGTGACACGTAAACGGAGCGAGCCCGAGCACAGAGCCGGCCTGCCGGGATCACTGCTCCCGGCACAGCCACAGCGGACCCCCGGGACGCCTCCACCGGGCCCCGCTTCCTCCCCCAGGGCCAGGAGAGCCCCCGCCCCCCAGCCGAGCTAGCGGCCCCGGACCGAGCCCCTCACCCTGGTGGTTGAACAGCCTCCAGATCCTGGTGAAGAGGATTCCCATCCTCGGGCGGCCCCGACCCCGCGGCAGCTCCCGTCTCCTCTGGGCTCCGCGGCTGCTCTCCCTGCTGGGCCCAGGGCGGCTCAGTCCCGGCCCCTGTCCCGCGCTACCCGAGGAGGTGGCAGGCTGAGGCCGCGCCGGGCCCGCTGGGGCTGCGCACTCCTGGCCGTGCAGCCCCCGCTCACGGACATCGCCACTAGCCCAGCTCCCTTTTCCGATTCGCCTTCCCGACCACGGCTTCCAGGGGGGGAATAAAATACAACGAGTCGCTCCTCCGGGCCACCGTCCACCCGAAGGGCCGAGCGAACGAGAGAGAGGCGTGACGCTATTAAAGAGTCATTTGCATACCACGGCCCGCCCCCTAGTAGGCGAGTTCCGCGAATGGGCAGAGACGTTCACGTGACTCATTTTAACCTTAGCGGCCCCAGGGTACTGACAGGTTTACGAGCCGTCGCGCGCGCTCCACCTGCAGCCCGGGCAGCCTCGGTGGAGGCTGGGCCCTTGCGTGCGGGGCCGATCCAGGGCAATGGGCGTGTGGCCTCCGCCAGCCATAGGGCCTGCCCCTTACAGCACCCACACCCCGCCCCCCCAGCGCCCTGCCCACCCAGCAGCGCCACTGGGGCCGCCGTCCCCCATGCCGACCGCCTGCCGCCCTGGCAACCGCCATAACCGCCCCCTTCTAACTTCTGTAACTGCCCCATGTCCCCTCCCAACCGCCCCGACTGCCCCTCCTCATCCCTGCCAACCCACCGCTGCACTTGCCCATTGCTCCCTGCCACCTCGCTGCGCTTGCCCCAGACCACTGCCAGGACTGCCCCTCACTCACTCGCCCCCTACTAGCTGCTGCTGTGTCTACCCCTTGCTCCCTGCCAACCACCACCATGCCATGAGTGCCCAGAACCACCCGTGCCACGCTGCAGAAAACACCACGGGTGACTGTGGACAAGAGAAAGGCAGCGTTGCCAACTCTTGATTGAATCAAGTCTCACAGTGTTGGGGTGTTTTTCTTAAAGCCCAACTTTCTGGAGCCAGGTGATTACATGAGAATCTCAGTTTTCATTTTAAAGAAAATAAGTTTCATAGCCCTCATGGTTGTGGAAAGAATCTTGAAAATATGAACCCTAAGGGCTGGAAAAACGGAAGGCATACAAAAAGAGTGCCAAATGCATGATCTTGAAAATCTCATGATTTTTTAAGCCAATCTGAAGATATTTAGGGGCCTGACTAATGATTTTTGGATGTGTGCGGTTGGAAGTACGAGCTCTGTTTCTTGCTCTGAGTTACCAGGGAACAACTGAAGAGTAAAATTCTAAGGGCTGGATTCTGACCAGGGTAGGGATAGAAATGAAACCCACTTGCTGCACTTATATGCTTTAAAAGTAATGATAATGTTTGTAAGTATTATGGCCAGCAGCAATCTGCACTGACTGTTTGTGTAGGTATCTCACATAAACATGTGACCATACCATTTGCCCCTAGGCTGTGACTTAGAATGCCTTTCTGCAGTTTCTGTCGCAGAAGGTGCAACAGTAATTCACTGTAAAACTGGAAGGAAATAGCAAATGGGGTACTGCAGGTGTCTAGCCTGGGTCCACTACTATTCAATATTTTCATTAACGACTTGGATGATGGAATAGACAAAATACATAAAATTTGCAAATGAAATCAAGCTGGGAGGAGTTACAAGCATTTGGGAGGACAGGAGCAGCATTCAAGATAGTCTTGATAAATTTGGGAAATTGGTCTGAAATCAATAAGATGAAATTCAATAAAGACAAGTGCAAAGTAGTACAATTAGGAAGGAAAAATCAATGCAAAACTGGAAATAATTGGCAAGGGAGCAGTACTGCAGAAAAGGATATGGGGATGATGGATAACAAATGGAATATGAGTCAACAACATGATGCTGTTGCAAAAAAGGCAAATGTCATTCTGTAAGTGTCACGTATACTCTGCTCAGCAGTGGTGAGGCCTCAGCTGGAGTACTGTACTATGTCCAGTTCTGGGCACCACACTTCAAGAAAGATGTGGACAAACTGGAGACTGTCCAGAGGACAGCAACAGATATCAAAGGTTTAGAAAACCTGACCTATGAGGAAAGGTTGAAAGAATTGAGCATGTTAGTTTAGAGAAAAGAAGACTAAAGAGGTGGGAGGAGCAGTTATGACAATAGTTTTTAAATACATAAAAGGTTGTTTTAAAGAGGATGGTGATCAATTTGTTCTCCATGTCCACCAAGCATAGAATAAGAAGTAATGGGTTTAGTCTGCACCAAAGGAGATTTAGGGTCCAAGCACTGGCCCTAAGCACTGAAACAGGGAAGTCATGGAAGCCCTGTCATTGGTGATCTTTAAGAACAGGTTAGATAAACATCTGGTAGGGATGGTCTATGTATACTTAATCATTCCTCAGGGTGTAGTGAATGGGCTAGATAAACATCTGGTAGGGATGGTCTATGTATACTTAATCATTCCTCAGGGTGTAGTGAATGGGCTTGATAATCTCTGGAAGTCCCTTCAACCCATACATTTCTATAATCCTATGAAGTTGTCTGCATGGGTTATAGAGAGAGATAGAATATGCATAGACAACTTCCATCCTGTTCTTCCCATGTTGGCTGTGAGTTGCCTAGCAGCTCCAATGCATAAAACCTGCTAGAATTTGGCCCCCAAACTCTAATCCTGTTACACACATGCGTGATTTTACACTTATCAGTAGTCGTTGTTTACTTCAGTGGGATTACTGACTGTAATTATAAACATACATGTGTTTTTGACATTAGGGCCCAAATTTGTAAGACCACTCTGCAGTACTTGCATTGCATTCAGTTTAAGTAATTCTCATCTGTAAGTAGGTTTACATTTATAAAGTTACTAGGTATCGTAAACTATGAACATACCATGAGTTCTCTGAAAAGGTCAGGATTTTTGTAAATTTACCATTACTAACTTACTGGAAGATATGAATAGATGGGCAACATGAAAATCAAAAGTGGCACACAGTTTGTTTTTTAACTTCAGAAAGCATCTTTGCAATTCTCATTTGAAATAGAACCTCAAACTTTGATATCAGCTGGATGTTTAAACCATCTTACTGTAACTTTTGAGGTCGATCAAATGTTTATTTTACCAATCTTGAGCATGTATTTAAACCCTACTTATCTAGAGTTTAAAGTGGTCACCATGATGTAAAGGTAAAGACCCTCATTCAAGCTGCCTTTGCATCATTTTTGCAATGTTTTTCTGATCCCCTAAATATTTTTTAGTGCTATAACAGATTTTTATTATAAGTGACTTGGAAATGGATGTCTTCATTACCGGCCAGATCGGTGGGCAGCGATCGATCAAGCAGGGATCGATTTATCGCGTCTAATCTAGACACGTTAAATCGATCCCCGAGTGCTCTCCCGTGGACTCCTGTACTCCAGCTCGGCGAGAGGCGCAGGCAGAGTCAACGGGGAAGTGGCAGTAGTCGACTCACCACAGTGAAGACACCATGGTAAGTCGATCTAAGTACGTCTACTTGAGCTACGTTATTCACGTAGCTGAAGTTGCATAACTTAGATCGATTCCCCCCCCCCCCCCCCAGCAGCATAGACTAGGCCAAAGAACTTTAGAATCATTTGAATGCCACAAAGAAACAGAGGGTACCATAGTGCATGTGTCAAGTTTTACATGACAAATGTGCCAATTGTCCCTCTTACTCTGGCTGTATTGGTTATTTAACAATTCTAAAATATATTCCAGACCACCTTCAACAAATAAAAAAAATTGCTGCACTTGTGTGATACAAGAGCAATTGCACTGGTTTCCTCAAGACCACTGAAAAGCACACACATCCAGTTGCTTTGCATGAAGCAATTTTTGTGCCTGCTAACATTGACCAACAATGATGGAGACTCTTTAACATGGCATATATTTTCATTTCAGAGAAATGAAAGTTTTTCAAGATCAATAGTCTCATTAAAATAAACTTTTTTTGTGAGTGATTTTTAATGGATACAGAGCACTAAATGTGTGATACAGCATGATGATTTGACATTGTCCATCTCTAATGAGACACTAAAAACAGAAAACAATTTTATAAGTCATCTAAGGCAGGGGATTCTCAAACATTTTTACATCCTAGTAGGATTTGTCTCACGGACTGCTGCCCAACCCAGTCTTCCAGTTACAATCCTGTTGGTATTGACACAAATTCCTTGTGGCAACTAGAAATATTGCTTACACGGAAGAGTAATAATAGGAAAACATCTAGGTACTTCAGCTATCTCTAATAAGTGTTGTGTCATTTTTGAAAACCCTAATCATAGTCTTCTTTTGCTTTGCATTTCCTCCTCCCATCTGTTCTGTTCCTAAGCACATGCTTCTCTATCATTCGCTCCCTTTCTCACCTACTCTGCTGCCTGGTACTCCTCTCCCCCTGCAGATGCTGCCTGGTCCCCCTCGATTGCCTCTCAATGGCTTTCCTGCTGCTTGATCTCCTTCTTCCTTGTATGCCTCTATCTTCCTTCCAGTCCACTGCTGATGTGAACATTCCTTTCTCACTGGATGGAGGCTTTGGTCCAGATGATGGCTTCTGGTTCCTTTTTGAGGCTTCTGTTCCTGGGAGTGACTTCTGTTTTTCTCCTTCTCTTCTGATGCAGTGATCACCCACTACTGGAAGCAGCTTGGCTAAGAGCTCCTTCTTTTTTCCATCTTCTACAGGCTTCCAGGATTTTCAAAGCAATGAAGGGGAAGAAGCCTGAACTGGCAGAGGGGATGGCTTAACTGGCTTAATAAATCTTTCCCATCTCTAGCATCTATTCTAGGATAATATGAAGAAATATAAACTAATACTTATATAATTTTGCACTTTACATCCCATTTCATAGCAGAATCTCACAGCACTTTATTAATAAACAAGCTCAGAGCACAACTCACATGTGTTTGCCTCTGGATCATGACTCATTTGTGCCACTTAGTCAAACTGATTGAATTCAAATGTTTAAAAAAAAAAAAAAGAAAGAAACTGCATGTGCAGTAAGAACTTAAAAGTCAAAGTTAAATCAGATGCAAGTAACGTGGCTTATCTGATACTGTATATTGTCCTCAACAGGCAGAGGGCTCATAACAAAAACATTGACAGACTATAGTTGTGTTACCGGTGATGATTATGGAATCACACTGCTAGGAAGCTGGACTGGTCCACCAGATGCCATAGCTAGTGCAAAGGCAGAGTGTCTCTGTACAGATGACCACTGCCCACGTGGATCCTTGAGGATCTCCCAGGTTTGGCGGTGAGCCCCAGTGACAC